AAGTGAAGAGAGCTTGTTTTTGCTGAAGTAGGCTGATAAAAGTTGAAATGAGTCCCAAAATGTGTAATTAGCCTAATTAGCATAAAACAAGCTATATAGTGGCTGAAATAGTAGAAAAAACTGAAACTTGCAGAAATAAGATGAAAGGAGCATAACAATCTGAAATTACTAGAAAGAATTTAAAAGAAGCACAAAAAAAATTGTAGTTAGCTGAAAAAATATGAAAGGAGCACAAAACAACTAAAAACACCCAGCTGAAATTAGCTGAAAGTAACTGTTTATTTATTTATTTATTTATTTTTGCACAAGAAAGCTGAAAGAAGCTGAACCAGAACAAAAAGTGAAAGGAGCAGTAAAAGGTTGTAAACACATCTAAAGATTTGAAGGAGGTAAAATGAGCTCAATTCATTTACAAAGTACTATGAAGGATAAAAGGGCAGAAAAAGCAAAATATTTCAAAAAGCTAAAGTTGCACAAGTTGGACAGTTGGACAAGAAACACGCCTAAAAATGTACAGAAGAAAACTAGATCACAATAGTGTGAATGCTTCATAAACATTCACACAAGTCACCCAAACTAAAACGCCACTCGTTAGTAACCTGCTCTGTAATACCTTGTTCATCAAAAAGTCCTGAATTTAAAGTGCTTGTTTTCATGTGTAAAGTTGGAATCTTTATTTGAGAAATTTAAATAAATGATTTTAAAAAATGGACATGAAAAAGAAAACTCAAATCCTATATTTTGAGACCAAATGCCTGTTTTATGGTGCAGTATAACTTTTGAACACTAGAGGGAGATGCAGCCTGATTTTAAGTTGCTTCAGTCTGTGATGGCAGAGTCTCATTATTGCGACATTTCAAAATAAATAAATATTGCGACATTTCAAAATAAATAAATATTGCGACATTTAAGAGTGTGACTAGAAAGTATCCATTTAGCAGGAAATCCTGTTGTTGTCTCTGACTGTAAACTAAAGTTGGACACGTGACGTTTGAAATATGAAAATATGTCTGGTCAGGTCGACCCTCATTCATGGCTGATAAAAACTCACTGAGCAGTTTATATTTTATTTTTTATAATACCTTGCCAAAACACCAATTTGTTTCATTTTAAAGGGCAAAAATATTTTTGAATTATGCTTTTATAGCAAGTGTTTGGGATAAAAATGGGTGCTCCTGTTACTATATTTAAGAGGTCAAAGCCTACGTGACGCTTCTAAACATCCAAGTAAAACGATATGTCCCTGAGCTGGGCGCTTCACACGACTTATGTTTAGAGTTTGGTTATCTGAGCAGAAGCTTTCGTGGAAAGTGTTTCCTTGAGACCGGACTGTTTCTGTTTTTCTGGCTGCCAACACCAGGCGGGATCCGGTGTCCTTGACGTCACTGTACAAAACATTTCCTCCTAATATTTAATCCAGGACAAATCTGCGCTGAATTTCGAAACAAATCTCAATTTCGATTAAAACAAGCATTTGCTCAAACCATATTTGAGAATGTTGTGTCTCCACTTGATGTAGAGTCATTTAAATGCACATGTTTTTCATCAGTTTGTTTCAAGTACAAAGCACAAGTCTGCTTGGTGTTGCATTGCAAAAACTACGTAAACTCCATAACTTTGTTTAAAGTAAGCTGTAATTAATATTTAATAGACCGTTTGATTTACTGCCTAATGGTGTTGATTTAATTAAATCACCCTTTTATTAATTTAAAGCTTGTTTTATACGATTTAATATTTGAAATATAGGCAAAGTTGATATGACAACCGTAAAAACGAGATAAAAGATAAATGATTTCGAACAAAGTTTAAAAACAGCACACCAGTTTACTTCATATAAAAATGACTTTGTATTTAAGTTTTTAAGTAGTTAAATACGTTTTATTTTTCTTTAAAATGTGGATTTTAGTTTTAAACTTTTGGTGTTTCGAAGAATTTTGTTTTGCATAATGTGAAACTGCTATTTTCCCCCGATGTAACTTGAATGCAGCACAGGACACGCTACACGCGCAGGGACAGATCCGGAGCAGGGCGGTTTGAACCAGTTCGTCAAGCGGCGGAAGTAGCGTGTTCAGTGAAAACAAAGTTTTCAAAATAAGTTCAAGTTCAACTAAACTTTGTCATTACTATCTCATTACTGTACAAAAATAGCAAAATATGAAGTATAAAAAGAAACAATCGATAAGGATCTAATGTAACAAAGTAGAAATACTCTTGTTACTGTGCTTAAATAGAATTTTGACATATCTTTACTTCGTTATTTATATTTCTAGCGATTTTCACTTTTACTCTACTACATTTCCTCAATAAAATGTGTACTTTTACTTGAATACATTTCCCTTGAGCATCTTAGTTACTCGTTCCCACAATATAAAATTAGAAGAAATCTGATTGGGCTGTGCCTGTTTGTTCTCCCAGTCTGTGACTTCACGCGGCCCCTTCTCTCCCCCACTCAATCACAAAACCAACCTTTCCCCCACAGCTTATGTGAAAACTGCAGTTCCCGTTGTGAACAAACTAGATGCATATGCAGAAATCAATCGTAACAACAGAGCTTTGTTGACTCACAGTGGAGCCACTGTAAATTCCTGATAGGTGTGAAAATGACAGTAGCTGCTAAAAGGAGAGGTTTGGTGTTCTCCAGGACATTAACTGGTTTAGAGCAGCAAGGTGAAGTCGTCGGGCCACTAGTCCTCATGAAAGAACACGGAGACAGATATTCAGTTTAGGGTGATTTAGTTGCTGTGTTTCTTCTGGTATTTACACACAGCAGTAAACCAGTAAAGCACAAACAAGCTTGAACAACAAGGCACCATCCGTGTCCGGAGAGATAAAATAAATTCCAACTGAGCTCTGCACTTTACACAGAGCGGTGCGTTCAATGGTGTTGGAACAGCCCTGGTGCATTCAAGAGCATAGGGACTATTATATTCAGAAAGAAACAAGCCATAACCAAACAGAGCCTAGCTCAGTAAACAAGCCGACTACACAACAATGTGAGCTTTCGAACAGCTTTGGTTAATAAAGGTTGAATACTTTATTAGAATCAGGCTTTTTAAAGAGCAGTCTTTCATTGTTCAGTTCAAACTTTCCAAGTTTTTGTCACTGGATAATGCACCCAATAAATGTTGTTTTGGAAATTCTAACTATTTACTTTTAACAACAAAGTCCAGGCTCATTTACTTTTACTTAATACTCTTACTTTAAGTACATTTTATATGAGACATTTACTTTTGATACTTAAGTACATTAAATGTCTGATACTTTAAGACTTTTACTTAAGTAATAATTTTAAAGGAGACTTGAACTTTTACCAAAGTAATTTTATGGTAAGATACTTGTACTTTCACTGAAGTTTCACTTTCAGGTACGTTAAAACAAATGCAAAACAGTACGCTAAAAGATCTAAGATATACAATAAACACTAAGAATGCAAAACGATACGGCCTAACAACAGCAGCAACATGAGTCTGGTGAGCAGATAGGTATGAATGAATACATCAGCATGAGATAATCAGCATCATGAAATCAGCAGCACAGAGAAGTCCTACATCACCAGTTAAAGTGGCATTCCAGTGATTTTTCTTTTTACTTACAGTGATTATCCTGGTTAGGGATTTTTAAATAAGTACTTGTAATGAGCCTACAAAAAACAGGTGTTGATAAAAGACTTAAAATTTCCTAATGTTTAGTTTATGCCATTACATTTTTTGCAGTGTCCTACAAAGCGTCTGTATAGTTTAAAATAAAAAAAAAGTTCTAAAATGAACTTAAAACACCTCAGGACTTTGTCTCTTTTGGAAAAGCAGTTAGCTCACGTCTCATTCATTTTTTTAATAAAGCACATAATTTGCTGCTGACAACAGAAAATATGGGTATGGGAATATATGACATCACCTTTAGCCCTTGTAGCCTTTCAAGTTCAGCATTTAATTTATTTTTATGTGAAAAGCTTAAAATGCTACTTAACCTAAAAAATGCAAAGTATAACCCTGCCTGCTAAGTTGTGTTTATGTAAATGGTGAAGGTTTTGCATTTTTATTATAAATCACGCAAAATGTGAGAAAATTAATCATAGTAGGGACTTTATGGAACACGAACTTTAAATGATTACTAAGATTTTATTTAGGTGTTACTATTAATATTACTCAAAAACAGTAGTCACTACATAATTTAAAAAAGCTTTGCAGAGAGTGGTGAAGGCTGCACAGAAGTCTGTTGGAGTCAGCCTCCCCACCATCACCTACACCTACAGATGCAGGAAGAGGGCCACCTGCATCATGAAGGACTCCACTCACCCAGCACACACACTTTTTGCCCCACTCCCCTCAGGAAGGAGGTTGAGGAGCATTAAGTGTAGAACCACTAGACTGAGGAACAGCTTCGACCCTGAGGCTGTTAGACTCATGAATCTCTAAACAGACTAATCACTGTGAAAAATCACATCATGTTGCTGCTGATCTGTTTCATGTTGCTGCTGATCTGTTTCATGTTGACGTGTTCATTCGTGCTCATCTGCTCACACAGACTCATGTTCGTGCTGCTGTTCGGCGTATTGTTTTTATGCTATTAGTGCCTAGTGTATATGTGGTTGATGTTTTTCTTAGTTCATATCTTAGATCTTCTTGCTGTTCTTCTTTTACATTTTATTGATGTATGTAACTGGGCCCCTGTGTACATAATCTCGTTCCACCACATGTACCACACGTGGTGTGTATGGCAATAAAAACTCTCTGACTCTGATAATGTGATTGATGAAGCACCCAGTTTAAGGGCTTATGCTTCAACTAACAATTAAGATCATGTGTTTTTGTGACTTGTGTTTCAACAATTATGTTTTGTTTTTTTCCTCCCTAAAAGCTTGGATTTCCCAATGCATAATCCTGACGACATTTTCAAGAAGCAAGAAGAAAGTCAAGTTGCCCTCTGATAAAGAGCACAGGTGCGCTTTACTTTGAAAGTATGTTCCGGAAGCGTTGTTTGTTTCGCCTCCTTGACGCACGAGCGGGCTTGTTTATTGGCTAACTCCACGGAACAGACAGACAGACTCAGAATCATTCCGTGGATTTGGCTGTGTCTGGGCGGCACTATCGTGTGGGACTTTTTCCAGTTATCCCGCGGGCTTACATCTGTACCGGAGGAGATATATTTATTTCTCAGTGGAGGGGAACCTTCGTTTTGTCCGATGAACAGAAGCAGCGATGGCTGCTGACCCCGCTGCTTCCCTTCGCCCTAACGGAAGCTTCTCGGCTGGGTAGACGAACCGACCGGGTCTGCTGCGAATTACATTCCGTCAGAGCCAAGAATCACCGCAGACATAAAAAGGTAGTTGTATTTGACATTCGTATCGTCAGTAGAGTATTTTTCAGCTGTTCAGCACCACTCAGACTGGTTATAAAGCAGCGGCACGGTTTGCCGGTTGGCTAGCTGCGCCTCCTGTTAGCAGCCATTATGAAACCAAATGAACGGTTTAGACTTTTTTATTTTCCTCCAACAAAACTGCTTTTACAGTTTCAGCCTGCAGCCGACACATGACTTATTCTTTGTAGAATTTAGAGCCAATCTTACTCAACTGGTGGCTTCTTTAGGGGAGGGTTAAGCCAGTTGTTTTTATACATTTATAGTCATTTCTGTTTTACAGTTTATCTGTTGATGCCGGTGTCAGCCATGGAGACCACCCAGGTGACTTTGGTGATCAGGGAGGAAACATCTCCAGGTATGTTTTAAGTTTAAATTTGATAGTCACAAGTCCTATGGACGTTCATGAAAAATAAAGACAATATGAATAAGCCTTTTTTTTTTTAAATATATTCTTAGGTGAGGTGATTGCAGTTGTTGGTAGCTGTGAGGCCCTGGGAAACTGGAGCTATCAAAAAGCTGTGACTTTACATCCTCTAGGTGATGATGGGTAGGTGAAACTGTGCAATTCCTCCTTTATACCCTGTTAATATATGTGGCTGTTTCTCCAAAAGTAATTGTATTTATTTTAATCACAGGCAGGCTTGGACTGTAACAGTCTCTGTGCCCAGAGGTGTTGTTTCCAGGTATCGCTATTTTAAAGGCTTCTTCTTAGAGTCTAAGGTGAGTCCCTTCTTCCTCTGGAGCCCCAATCACTGAACAGCTTTCTTAGAATTATTTTGTATTGCTTTATATGAATCATCTGTCAAAAGATTTAATGGTTATTACTGAGTTAATTCATTACACTCTGGTGTGTGACTTTCAATACATTATTGGATGTAATGTGAGCTTTTAACCTAACTTGTTTTTTGCAGCCCCTCAGGCAAGGAAGACTTTTCATGTGCTTTGTTGTTGTTTTCCATAATCCAAAGTCACCACATACTTGACCTCATGGTCTTTTGAGTTTAAACGATAAATATAATCTTTTGGCTACGGTTAGAGCTGTTCTTCCTGTTCACACCTGGTAAATAATAACCCTGTTTAAAATGTGGGAGTGCACCAAAGACTCGCTGATGTGTTATTGCTCGGGCCTTATTTCAAAGTCTCAAAGGCTAGATTTGGCCCCGGTCTTATTTCAGCGTGAAATTGAAATCCTGCTCCACAGACCGTCTTTGTATTCATCCACAGAGGTGGCGAGAAAGAAATGTCAAACTGTGTTAAGCTACTCGAATCCAGCAGCTCTGGTTGTAACAGAAAACCCTGCCTTCCTGTTTATGTTCCATTTTCCAGCGACGGTAAACAAAATATCTGTGACAAGTGAAGTGTTGTGGCTGTGCACTGTTTTTAAGGCGCGTTGCAAATTCATAGGCTTGCATTCCTGTACAACCCGTGAATTCACCGTTCTAACAACTAAAATCGTGAGGTCTATTCCCACGTAGCTCAAACAAGCTTGTCTTTTTTTGTCTCCATGCACGTCCACGTTCCTTAAATCAATACCCAGTTTTAATCTATATGAGTGACCGTCACTGAATGTGTCTGGGCTTCATGGAAACGTGAGCCGGTCTGCTGCCTCCCTGTGAGCGTGTTGCGCGTCAGATTCTTGTGCGTGATGTACAGATTTATTTGCATTCGGAGTAGCGGTCATTTGAGAGGCGTACCAAGTGTCTGCCTCGTGACCTGGGCACCTCGGGACACATGGTAATACCAGGCGTGAACAGGTCAGTGCTGTGAAAATCTGCAGCCACGATCAAACTGTCCAGCTGGCGTTCACAGCGCCTCAGCTAAGCCACGTTGTGTCACGTTCCAGGAAAATGAAAGTACATTATGTGCATTTCTTAATACTTTTTTTAAATGTGTTGCAAGAGTTTGTGGTGACTTTGTCAAGCCTGGACCCGAGTGTTTTCATTCCAAACATTAATGTGAGACTCGTTGAATTTCCTTCAGTTTTGTGAAGTCAAGTGTGGTTTCATGTAACAACTGATGCCAGGAAAATAAACGCCTTATAAACAACTAAACAGGACAAACCCACAATCTGCATTTCATTCATAGATTCAATATTAACTAAGGCTGGGTACTTTTTGAAATTGGACTCCACTTTGTTGATCTCGAAGCTAAAAATACATTTCGACATGTGTGTTGTTGGTAAAGTCAAGAAGATCACAATGACACATATAAATAAGAGCAGTATTAAACAGAAGACATGGTTTTTTTTAGTCTCTTATCTTTTATTATCCCATCACTAACAAATCCATTTTTCAGATTTCAACACAAAGGTGGCTGACTGTTCTAGCTGAGAGACTGGCGACTACCAGCTCTAACTCCTTTCTCAGCCTCTGGTCCGAAGGCTTCTTCTGAGACCAGTTTGAAGCAGTAGTGCTGTGTATCTGATTTGAAAACCCTAACATTGTACCCAACATTGAAATTGCAGAGTGCAGGTGGCCCCTGTCAAGTGATAGTCAATATGTGGGAGACCCATCTTCAGCCCCGCACGATGAGCCCCACAGGTATAAACATGCAAATTAAACGGTGCACGGTTCAGTTTTTTATTTTTTTGTGGTCATATTCAAACCTCCTACGTCCTGTTCTTAGCATTACAGTTGGTTCTAGCTACACCGATTGAGGAGGGGGTTTCAGTTTTTAAAGGACCGCAGTATAGTGTATTTAATGTACGGGTAGTTTTCGTAGTGCTCCCCGTTATTTTCAGCTCCAGCTGTTATCCTTTGGATGATACTGGTAAAGCATTCACTAGACCAATCTGCTGACACAGAGGAAAAACTGCAGTGCAGTAGACTTATTATTGTAGATCCCTTTAGTTATCAGGCCATTGTGTTGGTCTTATTCAAACAGAGCTGATTTAAAACGAGCCAGATAGGAAGAGCGGCTGCAGCCGAGTCCACACTCTGCGTTTGATCTTGTTTTATGATCGCAGCCTAGCGCCCAGTCTTTGTTTTCTTGTTCTTGTTCCTTATGTGATTCCTACTGTCATAAGATCCAGCTAATGTAACCCTAACGCCCTGCTGGCATTAATCATTTAGATTAAAAAATATATATATGTTTTTGTGTTTGGTAAATGTTCTTGAAACTGAGGCAAATCGAATCCAGAGCAAACTTGGCATCATAATGCTCAAGTTCAAACAGTGTCTTGACAACTGGAAACACTCTGGTGTCATTTGGCCTCAGCCTGTGTGTTGCTGCAAACCTTTTATCGCGTCTGATTTTCTTTTCTGTGCTTTCAGAAACGCATCAGAATATCGACGATGGACAGTTTGGATTTCAAAGTAAGTCGGAATAAGAAACTCAAATACAGTAGTCCCTCGTTTATCGCGGGGGATCCGTACCCTGAAGCCCCGTGATAAGTGAAAAACCGGAAAGTAGGAATAGTAGTACAAGTAGTAGTTTATTTGAGTATTTATATACAGTGTTAAGGCATTTTAAACCCTTCCCCACACTTTTGCAATATTCTAAACAATGTTTCTAAACTCTAAAAGAGCACAGCATGTCATGGTTTCAGCTCCCTGCTTCGTCTGCTCTTTGCCTTCTGCAAGCACTCTTGGCCACACCCACTTCTCCGCTCTGCATGGAGATCAGCTGATCAGCTGCAGCAGGAAGTTTATCCTGCAGTAAGGGCTGCACAAAGGTGCAGGAGGTGCTAAATAAATAAAAATGCCACGCCCATCATGCGGCTCATCCATCAATCAGCCAATTTTGTGTTGTGTCCAATCTTATTTTGAAAATCCGCGATAGAGCGAGTCCTCGATAAATGAACCGCGATGTAGCGAGGGACTACTGTAATAAGAAAAATGACATTTTCTGCCAGAATATAACGTGAATGCATGAGTGAATGACTGCTGAACATTTCTAAAGAAATTTAAAACTGATTTGTTAAAGCTAAAAAACAGAACCCAACCTGGCAGGAACAAAACACTAGCTAAAAGAAGCAAAATGCTCAAGCTAAATCTACCAAAATGAAAGCTAAATGTTAAATGTAGCAAAGCACATTATAGAGCACTGATTCAGGGGGAGTGGTGGCGCAGACGTTAGAGAAGGCGAGCCTGTGATTGGAAGGTCGCCAATTTGACCCCAAGACAGACAACATAAAAATGTGGGTGGGAGAGGTGAAACACCTGACTCGTCTTTCATTTGCCCCACTCTAGGCCCTTGAGCAAGGCCCTTAAATGCTCCCCTGGGCCCCCTAGGTGGCAGCTCTCTGCTCCACACAGAGGGCTGTGGTAGCTCAGTGCTCTGTGTTTGTGTCAGGAAGGGCGTCCGGCGTCGTGTGGGTTACAGTAGTTCACTGTGGCGACCCCTGAGGAAGGGAGCAGCCGAGAAAATTAAAAAATAGCATTAGTTCAGGCACTTGTTTTATTTTTACTGCTAAGTTTTTACATTCAGTGAACAAAAAGAAGCTTTAATCAAATGCTGTCCTGTTTATCTCTGCAGATGATTTAAAATGTCTTGACTCGGGGTGGCTGACATGCCAGACGGATATTCGCCTGCGATTGCACTATTCCAAGAGGCCTCCAGTGTCCATCACTAAGAAGAAATATAAGAAGTCTCGCTTCAGGTGCGTTTGACAGGAAGTCTAAATTTAACACCAGAGAAAGTCCATCATGAGCTAAAGTATTACAGCACCGCTCCTACCCCTTGATCCAGAGTAAAACAGTCCAGTCAGTACGAGACTTTTTTAATTTGCATTTTAATGTATGGGTGCAGGATCAAGCTTACATTGGAGGGTGTTGAGGAAGAGGAAGAGGATGAGGAAGATGAGCTCAGCTCTTCATCTAGGCACAAGATGACCACCACTCTGGGGATCAGTATGATGGATATTAATGGCTATAAGTCTCGACACTCTCAGCCGGAGTGTGGTTACGCCCTGGAGCCCCCCCGGTGGACAGAGTACAGCATCCTCACCATGGACCCTGACAACCTGGAGCTCACCTTTGAGTTTTTTGAGGTACCATCTGTTCAACCAAAAAAACTGTCAATATAACACAATAAATCCATATTCTTATCTTGCTACATACGATTGGTGTTCTAATCTTGAATTTGCTTCCAGGAGGATCTGAGTGAGCATGTGGTTCAGGGGGACATCCACCCGGGGCACGTGGGGACAGCCTGCCTCCTCTCCTCTTCATTTTCAGAGCATGGCAAAGACACGGGGGTGGTCACACTTCCCATAATGGGAAGAAACTCCAGGCAGACCATTGGGAAAGTGAGAGGTGAGAATTTTCATTTGTTCTAAATAAGTTTGCCATTTTTTCTGTGTTCATCCATATTTACTTTGTTCCTGCGGTTTCAGTGGATTACATGGTGATCCGGCCAATCCAGGGCCTCGAGTGTGACATGAGCTCGTCGTACACGAAGCACTGGAAGAAAAGAAGCACTGTGGATGTCGGTCACAGAGGAGCGGGCAGCACGCACGCTGCCAAGTAAGTGACATGCACATTTTTATTTTTCCCGCTTTATTTATTTTCAAATCAACCGTGTCAACGATTTGATTTGCATTTTACAGACACTACAAAGTTCGAGAGAACACAATCACCTCTTTTAAAAGTGCAGCTAAACATGTAAGTCAAAGAGAGGACACGCTCATGTAAACAAATCTCTTATTTTGTGTTACTCCTGCTCAAATGTGTTTGTGTGCGTACAGGGTGCAGCCTTTGTGGAGTTTGATGTGCACCTCTCTAAGGATGCTGTGCCAATTGTATACCATGATCTGACCTGCTGCATTTCCACCAAGAAGGTCTATTAGAATCTTGTTTTATTTTCCACTTTCTGCGCTTGTATCTAAAACTAATAATTATGTCTGACTTCAGAAAAATGACAAAAATCTGGAGCTCATCGAGGTCCCGGTTAAAGATCTGACATTTGATCAGCTGCAGCTTCTTAAGGTAACCCCTGCTCTAGTTAATCCTGTTTGCTGGGTTGTGCAATGTTCCCTGAAAGCTCTGCGCTGCTGCTGGGTTTATGTTTGTTTACCGTTAATTTGTTGAGTTGAAGCAGGAAATCTGGCTTCAGTTTGTGGTAATGAGCAGCTGGGTATGCAATGTGCTGCCCTGCGGTCGTGGTTTACACAGGCAACTTTTGAAAATCACAACCTGTGTTTCTGTGCAAAGCTTGCACATCTGTATTGTAGGCCATGCATATTATTGGGCTGCTACAAAATACAATAATCTTGAAATATTTCAAGGTTTTAAGAAGTTATAGTGTCAAAATCTTTCTATTTACTTGCAGTTTAAATGCCTTTCAGTGACATTCCAGAGAGTTTGTATAAGCACAGAGCTGTGCCCTCCTTACTACCCGCCTGCAGCTGCAAGCCGTCAACAAGTTGTCATCTGTAAACTTGTGCTAGTCAAAACCGGACAAGATTCGTTTTTTGTTTTTTTTTCAGAAGCCCTAAAAAAAAACCCAAGATGGTTTGTTTATACGGAAACTTTTTCAGTAAGTGATGGGCATTGCTTCTCCTAAAATGAACATTTGGATTCAAACATTTGCCATAATCTGAGAGTTAACGTTGGTGGATTAGAGTAAACGGGCTGCTGCAGGCTCACTAAGATTCAGACATTTAACTAGCTTTCAGCTTTTGAGTTACTTCCCCACCGCTGGTATATCTTCACTCTTGTACGGAGACTTGACTCGCAGCTGTAACTAGCTTCTTGTGCAGATCAACTGCAGCGATGAACAAACGCAGAGGACACCCCTTAACGTCTGAATAGTATTTATTTCTTCCCTAAGGCAGCAAACAGATTGTTGTATGTCCACCTGATAACTTATTTTAACTAAAGTAGAATATAAAAGCACATTTATGCTGTCTGTCAGCAGGAAGCTGCACACTTGACCCACACATCTGCAGCATTTGAGCAGTCGATCAAACCGTGCACAACATGCATGTTTGGTTAAGAACTGTGACTAAATGTAACTGGTGTTTTGTGTTTTTGTGTAAAAAATATCATAATATCTCAAATCGGCTGGCTCTCTGGTGTTTTGGCTGACATTGATTTAAAATTGAATCTCAATGCTTGAGAATAAACAAATTGTTCAGTTTTGATATTCAAAATATCTGATGACAATAAATACATTTAGGTAAATGTCTTGACTCTTAAACTGTGACTGTCAACAAATTTACACGTTTTCACTCCTTTTGAACCTTTGTACAACAAATTAGAACTATATATAACTATATATAAATATATATTTTATATTTAAGATTCTGATTATTATAGAAATGTAATCAAGCAGCAATGATAGTAGTTAAATCTTTGTATTTAAACAAAGGTAAAAGCTCTGTGCTGTACTTTTTGGCTTTAATACTATGAAATTGTGGTATTTTTGCTTAAAGTTGTCATTTTGTTGGTATCTCACACCAGCCCATGCAGACTTGTTGCATGCTTAAAAATAATTAAATAAATTGTTTTTGTCTCTAAGCAGCTACAGTAATTTCTGATTGACAGTATTTACAAATAATTCCTCAATCTGGTCTCAGATTTCTTCATTTAACTTCAGTTAAGATTAATAACTACACTTGATTCAACTGATTTTACTGTTAAAAAATGACAATAAAAGTGAGTGTGTTGGTTTATCTTTCATTGGTCATGTTTATTTTTTAATATATATATATTAAAGTAAACAATTTGTGATTTGTTTTTACACAGTTGGCCCATACCACTGCAATGCAAGGAAGTGATTACAAAGGTATGCACTTATTTGTTTGTTTGTTTTCCTTCTCGTACCTCAGCCCTTCCTGCTTGGACTTTGAATGAAAGATTGAAAAAGCTCTATTGCAAAATGCTATTGATGTTATTGGGCCTGCATTACCTAAGATCATGTCATTTAAGCTTTGTTGCACAGTGTTGTTTTTTAATCAATACACTGCGATGGATTTAGTTTCAGTCAAAGAGCTTTTGTGTACCGTATCTTGCATCACAGTAAAGTACATTAGAGGGTATTGCGTAATGGGATTTTGCAGATCTTCTGGATGATGAAGATGAAATTGATGAACATCAGCCATTCCCCTCGCTGTCTCAGGTAAAGAATGTTCTGATGATGATTGTCTATCAAATGCAACCTTCTCTCCTCCTCCTCTAGGTCTTCTTTCTCACATCCAAGTGAACTATTTGCTCTTTTTTGTTCCTCCAAAGATTTTCCAAGCTATTCCTGAGCACGTTGGCTTCAACATCGAGCTCAAATGGATCAGCCAGATGAAGGTGAGTAAAACAGCTCCGAGAGAACATCACCATTAAAACTAGAGAAATTGTATTTCCTGCAAAAATGCAGTGTGAATGCTTATTGCTGAAGAACTTGCTGAAAAACAGCTGAAATTAGCTAAAACATGCTGAAATGTAGCTGAAATGGAAGAACAAGCCTAAGTTAGCAGAAGAAAGCAGAGAGAACACATTTGCAGAATTTGGTTTAAAGAAGCAGAAATGAGCACAAAAATTAGTAAAGTAGCTAAAATGGGCTTAAATTAGCAAGAAATAGCTGAATAGTAGCTTTTTTAAAAGGCCAAAAGAAGCTGAAATTACCAAAAGGAAGTGGTGAGAGCACAATTGTGTCCAAATAAACTTAACAAAGCAGAAATAAGCACAAAGTGGGAAATCATCTAAAAAAAAGCAGAATTTTTCCCAAAACAGCTGAATAATGGCAAAAAGCAGAAAGAAGCTTAAATGGCCAAAATGAAGTGGAGTAAGCACAATTGCTCCAGCTAAGTCTGAAAGAAGCAGAAATTAGCACAAAAAAGTTGGAAATTACCTGAAAAAAGCAGACTTTTCCCAAAAATATCTGAATAGTAGCTAAAAAAGATTTTTAAAAAATTAAAAAGCAGAAAGAAGATTAAATTACCAGAAGGAAGTGGAGAGACCACATGTGCACCCAGTTAGGCTTAAAGAAGCAGAAATTACCACAAAAAGTTGAAATTATCTGAAAAATGCAGAAATTTGCACCCCCACACACACACACACACACACACAACTGAATAGTAGCTAAAAAAGCAGAAAAAGCTTCAATTACCAGAAGCAAGTGGAGAGAGCACAATTTTGCTGAATTAGGCTGAAAAAAGTTTAAATGAGTGCAAAAAATGTGGAATAAGCTGAAAAAGCTCAAATTAGCATAAAAACAGCTAAATAGTAGCTAAAATAGGAGAAATAAGCTTAAAGGAGCAAAACACACTAAAATGAGCTGAAATAAGTTAGACGCTCAAAACTGTTGTAGTTAACAGAATAAAGCTGAAAGGAGCACAAAAATACTAACAGGATCACTATAGTGTGAATGCTTAATAAGCATTCACACTATAAAGTGATGTTTTTAATTCTTTGTGTTTACAGGACGGATCATGGGACGGAAACCTGTCCTCCTATTTCAACATGAACACCTTCCTCGACATCATTTTCTCCTGCGTTCTGCAGAAAGGTGGGAAGAGACGCATCATCTTCTCATGTTTCGACCCAGATATCTGCACAATGTAAGTACTGTTGTGCCTAAGCGCGCACAATCTTCTCTTTCCATGCATGAATGTGTTCACGAATGTCTTTTTGTCTCAAGGCAGCAGCTGAAAGGTTTTATTTGGACAAAGTAAAAAGGAGTTGTTTTTCTCACATTTTTAGATACAGCTGACCTAAATGTAGAAAGAAGTGAACATTTAAAAAGGGATTCCTGTTGTTTTAGTTGAACTGAATTCATGGAACTGCATCTCAGGTTTTAGTGAGTCCATGGATGTTGTCCAGTAACAATGAACCCTCTTCAACAGCTCATGAGTTTCTTTTGTCCAGGGTGCGACACAAGCAGAACAAGTATCCCATCCTGTTCTTGACTCAGGGGGTTTCTGTTAAATACCCTGAGCTGATGGACATCCGCTGCCAGACCACTCAGTTTGCTGTTAGCTACGCTCAGAGTGAAAATATTCTGGTAGGTTGTTTACGTTCATTATGAACACATTTTAACGCAGCCCTTCACTGAAATGAAAAGGTTCTGGAGGCCTGGTGGCTTTTTCTCATGTGCTGGACTGGTTTGTCTTCCAGGGCATCAGTGCCCACACTGAGGAGCTGCTGAAGCACCTGAATTACATCAGGGAGGCCCAGTCCACAGGCCTGGTGGTGTTCAGCTGGGGCGACGACAATAATGACCACGAAACCAGGAAGAAGCTGAGGGAGGAAGGAATTGATGGGCTCATATATGATCGGTAGGCTGAACTTCAACACAGTGTTTGCTGCTACAACGATTGAAACACAAACAGCAGGCCGTGCGTCCAGAGACGTTCTTCTACGTGACTTATCTCATTTAGTGCTTGTGCTCCCATTATTACATCACAAATCATTTTTTGTAGTTATTACCACCTTTTGACACGTGTTTTATCTACTTTAAATCTCACACTCTGTGCACCCTAATATTTGCTCATGTGAATGCATTTTAGCTGTTCTTTTGATCATTTTAGCTTTTTCAGCTAATTCCACATTTTTTACACTCGTTTAATTTTTTTCAGTCAAATTCATCTAAAATGTTCTCTCTTCACTTCCTTCTGGTAATTTAAGCTCCTTTCTGCTTTTTAGCTACTTTCAGTTGTTTTTTTGCTAATTTCAGCTTTTTTCAGATAATTTCCACATTTTTGTGCTCATTTCTGCTTCTTTCAGCAAACGTGTTCTTTCTGCTTTCTTCTGCTAATTTACGCTTATTCTAACTTTTTAGCATTTTTTAGCTAATTTTAGATAAATTCAAGTTTTTCGTGGTATTTTTTGCTACTTTCAGCCTAATTTACTTCTTTATGCTAATTTCCGCTTGTTGCGCGCCTTTCAGCTTTTTCTGCTAGTTTCAGCTTTTTTCATGCTATTTCAGCTACTATTTAGTTGTTTTATGTTAATTTTAGCATTTTCAGCTAATTCCACATTTTATTTAGCTCACTTCAGCTTCTTCCACTTCCTTCTGGTAGTTTAAGCTTTCTGCCTTTTCAGCAACTTTTCAGCTTTTTTTTTTTTTTTTGTAATTTCAGCCTTTTTTTTAGCTAATTTCCTAATTTTTATGCTCATTTCTGCTTATTTAAACCTAATTCATATATTAACCTAATATTTAAACCTTCACCGTGACCTTGAATTCAGCAAACATGTTTTCTTGCTGCTTTCTTCTGCTAAAGTAAGCTTAGTCTTTCATTTCAGCTACATTTTTTTTGCTAATTTCAGCTGTTTTTCAGCAAGTTCTTTTGCAATAAGCATTCACACTGCATTTTCACAGGAAATGCAATTCATCTAGTTTCTGTTTGTGTTGGATAAACAAATATTTTTCACTTTAAACTCAGTTTTTTTTTCATGTTTTGTGCAGTATTTGTCCACTGAGATGATTAGTTCCTTCTTGTTGTGTTTGTTTAGTGTTTCTTTAAGCTTTAGCTGTTTTGGTCATCATGTTTAGTTGTTTCTGTGGATGAAAACACTTCAGTTTGTTATGGCCAGCACATGTACTGTGGGTCTGATGTTTTACAACAACATGTTTACAGGCTGTGATTCAGTGGAGTTGTTTTGGCACGAGCTGCAAAACTTTCTTTCAACACCAAGAGTCGCTTGAGTTCAAAATCATTTACACATACGGGACAGATAATAAAAAATACTTCCCAAGAACAAAATTCTACTTCAGGTACATTTTATGAGGATCCATCCAATAATTTTACTACTTTTGAATGGGGGCTCTGCAGTTGGAAATGTATTGGTATCTTATTGAAAATCTTGTGGAATGATTTTGCTGCTGCTGCTTTTTTTAAAAACTTTATTTAAAATGAGTATTTATACTTTAAAAGCTTTTAAGTTAGACAAATTTAAGAATGAATTTACTTTTGAAACTTCTGCAAATTGAGTAACACTGATCCGTCCCACAGTTTTTTTTCTTTGTAAGTAATAAATCCTGATGCTCCTCAGGCAACACTTGGTATCAGCTCTTCCGTGATAAACAGGCCTGATTTTAAAGGTTATCAGCTTGTTTTTCAAGCATCAGTGTTACGTAATCTGGCTGTGGCAGGAGTGTGAATCATTTGGCATCTGTTGTTGCCGTCTCTAGAAAAGCTTGATTGATTGACTGCTGTGTGTGAAATGAACATGCACAGTTATGCCAGCCCAGTTATATAAAGTCTGTATTGTTACTGAGGTAAAATAGATTCCTCTGGACTCAGCAAAACCGTGTAGTCGGCAGATCCTGCCTGTTCAGCTGTTTCACTTCTCTCTCTGTCTATATGTTGACATTTGCTCTGTGCTTTCATTTGGACTTTGGCCCTGACTCCTGCAGACTCCTGCAGACTCCTGCAGACTCCTGCAGACTCCTGCAGACTCCTGCAGACAGCATATCAAAACTCCACATTGTTGTGTCGATTGTTCTTTATAACTGTGCCTCTCTTTTACAGAATTTGTGAAAGGGAGGTGCCGTGTTTTGACTCAAGTTCTCCAGATTCCTGTAATTCTCTCTGGTTCCTGCGCTTTCTTTACACCCCCTGGCTTTTTTAATTTTTTTTTATTTTGGTTCCCTTTTTGAGCCTCTAGCTGAATGAATCTTGCTCATCAAATGCTGCAGGAACACATCAATGTTCCTAGACAATGATACAAGAGGCGGTTGACTTTTCATATCTTCTCTGTGCCTTTCATCTTGCAACAAGTGGATATTTGAACTTTGTAGAAATATTTATGACTCACTGAGTTTTTACTTACCACACTTGTTTGATTAGTCAACTGCCATGGTTATCATTTTTAATGCTGGTGTACTCATTTGATCACAAGGTCACATCCTTTTTTGTTACGTCTTTGTATTGCTTTGTGTTGCCTCCAAGTTCTTCCTTATTATTGTGCTTCCATTGTACATATTTGAAGGAAAACTAGCACTAAGACCGAATGGCTTTTTTTAATGCATGGGATTGTCACGTGATGTTTTGGCACCTTCATAAACTGCATTCAGCTGTTAGTTTTCTCAGATCTGCTGAAGCTAGATGTATGCAAGTGTGACGGCACCAAACCACTGTAACAGCCATGCAAACCAGCTGTGCTCCAAGACAATCCTGTTTTAATGCCTCAAGTTAAAGCTTTGCAATTTTCTGGGACTGGAGCATATTTTTCGTGCGTACTTTAAAGTTTACATAAATCTTAAAGCTCATGTCAAAGCCTGTGGATGACCTGTCTGCACTCGTTGTGAAAACTGTTTTTGTTACAATGGAGGCGATGGCATCATCATTTAGTGAACCCTGAACATTTAACAAGTTCAGAAATAGGCCTGTCGCAATAAACAATAAATCAATTAATCGCCTGATAAATGGAAATTATCGACCTCATTTTCCTTTATCAGCTTTATCGTTTCTTCGTGTCTCTTTCTACTGAAGACACTGGATGACAAAGGGCTCAACTCTGGTGCTCTTCACTGACTCCTCCCTTTCTCTTTTCTCTTTAAAATCTGTTTTGAACGTCCAAAATTGCATTTTTGGATCGTTAAAAGCAGCTAAGCTGAGAAGCTAAGCTACGAGCTAAGCTAATAGGCCGACCTCAGGAAAAAAACTGTCTTGTCAAAGCTCCAAAATTCACAGTTGAAATCCATGCCTTCATGTAAAAAAATGTTTTTTCTCTGCAAAAAGAAGCTGAGAACTTGTTTACTGATGTTTTATTAAAAGCTTTGTGTGACAAATGATATAACGAGCTCAAACTTCACGCCCCGGCCCCGACAACATCAAAATTGTGGGTGGGGTAGGTGAAACACCCACACTTGCCCCCACCCTCATTCGCCCCACTCTGGGCCCATGAGCAAGGCCCTTAACCCCCACCATGTGCTCCCTAAACAGGTCTCTCTTGAAAATGAGTTCTCGTGGCTCAATGAGACTAACCTGTATAAATAAAGGCTAAATGAAAAAAAAAAAAAACTACACCGAACGTCCGCCATTTTGAGAACCGAAAAACAGGAATGAGAGACGGCCCATGTCACGTCAAGGGGCCTCTCTCCCGTTTTTCTTAGAAACACGCTGCTCGCTCCCTCACTAGCCATCCTTCGGTTCAAACAGTCTTATACTGCCATCCGGTGGTCAAAAAAGGTACTACATACAAAAATTATAATTTCTTAAATTTGACAATTACTGAATTATTGTCAAATTTCAAACAATATTGTCGTTAATCGCAATAATTTCTGAGACAAGTAATCGCCCAGCAAAATTTGTTATCGTGACAGGCCTATTCAGAAAAAGAGTTGAGTTTATCTCTTTACCGATCAACACACACAGAGAAAGCAAATGTCTTTCTTTCTTCTAAAGGTGGATGTTGTGGTTTTTCAGACATGACTAGATCTGAACAGGTTGTAAAACCAGTCCATGCCCACTGATGAATTCATGATTAGCTCAGTCGTCTTTACAGGTCGATTATGATAGGTAGGGTGGGGGGACTGGACAAATATGACCATTGGAGATTGGAGTGTTTTTGGGCGATAGCTGTTTTGTTAAGGACAAAAATTTCTGCTTTATTTTGCCTTTAATTTTCCCTCTCCAGAATTTTGACCTTTAATGGATTACAAATTAAATCCACGCTGTAATCCACCTTGATCAAGTGCACTCAACCTCATTATTTTCAGCAGCAGCGCCCGTAACTTTCTGACAGGTGTTGGTCCCTGCTGATGTGGGACACCCGACAGCAGGCTGAACCACTGTGGTTCACTGTCATATGTTCATACATTTTCTGATTGCATTTTTCCTGCAGGTCCTAACTTTTAACAGAATTGTCTGCCGTGGCAGTAAGGACATTGTGTTAGAAGTTGAACACACGTCTGTTCTCGTGATATATCTGTTAGCGCCTAATCTCAGTTTGGCGTTAGTTGTACAGATCTGGGCTATTCCTAGTCAAAAGTTTTGAGTAAGTCTTTGTTTGAAAACAAAAGCAACTCGAAATTAGTGACTTTGTTTTCTTTTTGTCCACAAACAGCTAACCTACATAGTTGTACGGAGAACAGGAATTACCCGTTTTGTCCCTCCCCAAACGACGTGCTTAAAGACGCTGCAGAATCGCTTGAAAATGGTTGTTGGACCTAAAATGGCTGAAACGGTTTAAACGCATCGCCGAACTATACACTGTTGAAAGCCTCCTCCCTTCACTGCACAGCCTGTGCAATCATCCCCCTGCATGATTTTAAATTTAACGACTGTGCATGGAAACAGTTTAATTATTATGCTGTGCTCAAATGACATAAATGAGCTGAATCTATAAATCAGAATGATAGGATGTTTGGAGATGGAGCTTTATAATGTTTGTAGCTCTTGTGTTACCGCACTGAAATTCTTTGAGATGTTGCTAAATTTCTGTGTTGGTTCAACAAAAATTCTGATGCCTAAAAGACTTTCTTTAGATCAAATTATTTAATGTAACAGAATGAGTTATTTTACAGCTTTACTTACAAATACGAAACGTCTTTAGCTGTGAAACATTGATCCCAACAACTCTGTTACGTTCTTTCCCTCTAGGATTTGTGAAGCTCAAGGAGAGCAAGCAAACATCTTCCAGGTAGAAGAGCAACACACTCTGCAGGAGGTCATCACAGAGGAGACCTTAAAGAGCTCTGCTTGCGCCTGCTACACCATTCCCTGCTCCATGGTACCATGTGTTGCCTCAAAGGCTCACGGTGGAAGTGCCGAGTCTGATTCTGGCCTCAGCTCTTCATAAAAAAAAGAGAAAAATCAAGTGTCTACCTTTCTGTGTAGCTCGTTATTCATGCTGATGTTGACCAATGAAGGGTTGGACGAGTAAATAAACTTGTACTTCCTCTGACCAAACTGATCAGGTGCTCCTCCCTGCCATTTTGTATTTTCCCCACAAAATGTTTTTATTTATTTATAGTTCGACATTGAGCCAAAACGTCAAAAGAAGCCATATTTTCTATTTATCCTGCAAAGGCCAGTTCACTCTTCAGAGCAGAATAATCAACGGGTCTTAAAATATATCTAGAAATCACACATTAGGTGCAGATTTATGAGGCCAATATGTTGCTTCAAATTATAATTTAATGCATACTTTACAATTTAGGAGCTATAAAGTGGACGTCATTAAGTTCATCATGCTGTTGAATGATGTTTTTTTTTTCCGCTGTTATTTTTTGTGCATGCAGCCATTGCAACCTGAACCAGAACCAATCACACTGTTGTGAATCAGTGAGTTGCTGGACAAGTTTTTTGTTTTTTTAACAAACAGCACGTGCTTGTGTAATGAGTTGACAGCGCAGGTTTCATGAAATATTGTTTTGTTTTTGTTGGTCTGACTTAAAGCACTTTTAAAACTATGGCATGAATGAGCCCTCTTAAGAAAGAGGTTTAGTTAAATGCATTGGCTTCAACTCTTCTTGCCTTTAAGCTTTTGTTCATTGGCCTCATTATTATAGTTCATTGCGTATTGTATAATCTGGTTTCTAGATACTTGATTTCAGGAAGAAGTGTTTTCTGTAATGGTGCACATTCAAACCACAGCCTTAAAGGAGATACATGTATTTCTGCTAATTTATTTAAACACAAGCTTCTTCAAAGTTAAGTTTGACTTGATTAGAGATTTAAAACGTGTACCTCCTTCTGAACCCAATTATTTTCACAGCACCGCAAGTTCAATGTACACATGAATTCATGAGTGATGTGTTGTCTGGACCTTGTCTGTCTCTGAACTAGAGTCTAAAGATTGTTGCATGCATGCTCGGTATAAATGGATGACCCAGCTCGGTGTACTTGAACTCTCACTTGAACTGTAAATAAAACAGATTTCCTTATATTGTCTTGGTGTTTGGTCTTAATCCTTTTAAAGCGGTTGAAAATATATATTTGTGTACTTGTATAATTTTTCTGTTCGGCTTCTAAAATGGTTTGTCAACAACTTGGTTTATGACCATCTTATCATTTCCTGGATATGAAGCACATGTTCTCGAACCCAAAGCTTCAGTTTACAGCGGGGCTATAAACACGCTGCTGTTAAAAATAATCGCACTGCATTCTCAGGAACTGGTGTAAACTCTGATTACTGTTGTCATGAGATTATTGAAGTTTGTACTGCCAAGAAGGAGCGCGACTTTATGGAGAGGCGAGTTTCGAGCTGTGAATGTCTATTTTTATTGGTTCAATAATGGAGAGTAGGAGGTTGCTAGGATGCGAAACATTGACCCACACGATTTAACAAAACTTTTAAGTTGGAGATTATTTGTTTAGCTAATTGGCAACAAAACATCTGGTGGAACTGTTTTTTAATGGTTTCTAACCATTCATCAGTCCAGTATCTTCCACTTGTTCCAAAGTTGGGTTGCAGGGGCAGCAGCTTGAGCAGGGAGGCCCAGATCTCTTTCCACAGCCACCTCTTCGAGTTCTGGGAGGATTCCAAGATGTCCCCAGTCCAACCAAGTGACATAGTCTCTCCAGTGTGTCCTGGGTCTTCCTCGGGGTCTCCTCTCAGTCAGACATGCCTGAAGCACCTCCCTAGGGAGGCGCCCAGGGAGCATCCTTACCAGATGCCTGAACCACCTCCACTGGCTCCTCTCAGTTTGGAGGAGCAGCGGTTCTACTTCGAGTCTCACAAATAACTGAACTTCTCACCCTATCTGTAAAGGAGGGTCCAGCTACCCTGTGCAGGAAACTCATTTCAATCGCCTGTATCCACGATCTCATTCTTTTGGTCACTACCCAGAGCTCGTGAACATAGGTGAGGGTAGGAATGTAGACCGACCGGTAAACTGCTTTGCCTTACAGCTCAGCTCCCTCTTCACCACAACGGACCGGTACAGAGTCTGCAATACTGCAGATGTTGCACCAATCCTGTCAATCTCACATTCCATTCTTCACTCACTCGTGAACAAAATCCCGAGGTACTTGGAACTCCTCCACCTAAGGCAGAACGTCACCCTCGACCCAAAGAGAACAATCCACCCTTTTCTAGCTAAGGACCATGGCCTCAGATTTGGAGGTGCTGATTCTCATCCCAGCCGCTTCACACTCGGCTGCAAACTCTTCCAGTGAGAGCTGAAGATCACGGCACGATGACGCCAACAGGACCACATCATCTGCAAAGAGCAGAGATGGAATCCAGAGGCCACTGAACCGGAATCCCTCCGCCCCCTGGCTGCACCGAGAAATTCTGTTTATATGACTTGCCCATTTTGATTTTATTTGTAATTAACATCAAGGACAATCTAATAAATGAAAATTTAAAAAATGAAAGCCAGAACTCACTGATCTGTGGACTGATCTTTAAAGGTGAATAAGCAAATTTAATTATTAAAATGTACTCTGTGGTCCATGAGATACTTTACTAACAAACAGGTATAATTGTCTCCAACAGATAATGTTAAATTTTTATGCAAAGGTCTTGCATCATGATTAGCCCTCGCAGTATGTGTTGGGAATGAGTTTTGTGTTCAACCACACCAAAGCTTTTAGCTCAGTATCTATAAAACTGAATGAACTGCAGTCATTTTTGAACCCATCCCATAGAAAGACCCCACTGATGAGACCGTGCCAAGCAGTGGAAAATGTCTGCCTTGAGATTGCGCCGCTCAAGGTGGCTGCATGTTGGAGCAGCTCTGTTACTTTCATTTTGAGATTTTGCTTTTGGAAACTTTAATTCCTCTTTTTCTGGATGTAAATCACATTTTTTGGATGATTGTTTCCTCTGGTATCAGATGCTGTGCAGCTGGAAGGATTTTTACTGAAACTTTTTTAGTTTTGGACATTTGTTATGATGCGTAACTATGGCAACAAGGCTGTTTTCTACAACCAACAGCAGCTGATTAACATCTCAAAAGCTCAAATAATATCTCAACTACAGCCCCAAATCTCAAGTGAGTTGAAAAGGATGTTCTGTGGACGCATTCTCATCTACCTGCCAGCTGTGCTTGAGTGCCTGACCACTGAGATCCTGGAACTAGAAGGAAACATGACTCATGACAGCGGAAGGACAGGATCGTCCCTCGGCACCTACAGTTGACTGTCCGCAGTGACGAGGAGCTCGGCAGATTGCTGGGAGGAGTGGCCATCGCTCTGGGAGGAGTTCTGCCCAGCATTCGGGCGGTCCTACAGCCCGAGGGAACCGAGAGGCCAGCTGAGTCTGGGTGGACGGATCAGACAGCATCTGCAGCCAGTTTCTTAGGATCCACTGTGAAATGAACCTTTACAAGAGATCCTTCCTGTCTACAGCCATCAGCATCTATAACATCTCTTAATGAAATGAGGATAACGAGTTACAACAACAAAATAATTTCCCTCTGGGATTAATAAAGTGTTTTTGAATTGAATTGAATTGAACTGAATTAAAGGAGAGTATCTTTTAAACAAAGCTAATCTGCAAAATGGTATGATCAGAGCCGGAGAGCTGCATTACAAGGAGTTTGACCTGGAATCAAAATGTGACCAAACTCACACAACATGCTTATTCTGTTCCTACTGAAGACGTCAGTACCAGATGTTAGACCGAGCCATTAGTTCATACCAGTAAATAACTTTTGGGGGCACTGATTATATCAGGGTTTGGTGACTCTTCGTGGTATCAGCATGAACTTTGACAAAGGTTTATCATCCTAAGTTAATGTTGTCTTTTTATGACAATATTTTTAATGTTTTGAAATTGAAATAATGAAATTCAGGAAGATCTGAACAGAAGTGCTAACATCTGTCCATTATCTTTACCCACTTCTTCCTTTTCGGGTCACAGGGGTCACGTGCCCTCTGTGTGTGAGGCAGGGGACAACACCCTGGACAGGTCTCCAGTCCATCACAGGGACACATAGAGACAAATAATCATTCACTCTCTCACTTTCACCTACGGACAATTTAGAGTTATCAGTCTAACATGCATGTTCTTGGTCTGTGGGAGAAAACCCACACATGCACGGAGACACATGCAAACTCCACCCAGTAAGGCCCACTGGCTGGGATTTGATTCGGCGACCTTCTTGTTGAGAGGAAGCATCATTATTATTATTTTTTTCTTTCTTATATTTTGTAATTTAACCTAAACTGTAGAAATAAAAAATGCGTTTAGGGTTTTAGCGCTCTCTGCTGTATAGAAGAAAAAAAAAAAAAACGACAATTTGTGACGTTTCTCTGGAATTTCCACACAAACAAAATGTGTATTTTTACATTTATATCGTATGAAGTTGATTTTCACTGTTTTATTTTATTTTAATATTATATAAACAAAAAACAACTCCAATATGTATATTTTTTTGCGAAACGCGATCAGATTTTACGTAACACTGACTCGCGAACGGCTTTTCTTTACGACCACTGGGAGCTGTAGTTTTAGTTGCAGCGATGTCATCTTGGTTTGCGGCGTTAATAACTCAAACTCCCACAATGCCGTGCTCTCCACCTAAGCCACAAGCTGGCCGGGTTACGCCTACGTTAAATCAACTGTAATCCTTACTGTACACACCTGAACCTTCTGCGGATATTTTCTCCTGATCTGGAAGTTTGTTCCAGAAAAAAACACAAAAGAAATGGACAACTCTGGAAAAGAGAATGAAGCGATTCAGCTGATGGCCGACGCTGACAAAAAAGTCAAGTCTTCCGGGTCTTTTTTGGGAGGAATGTTTGGAGGGTAAGGCACTGCACCAAAGAATAACACAGCTAGGAAACCGTCAAGTGTCAGCAGCAACAAAGTTGGCACGTAGCCCAGTTTTACACAACATTAAAATTAACAAGTTGGCAAAAATATGTTGGAAGTTTATGTATTTATTAACCCATAACATTAGAATATGTTGTTGTTCAGTTCTCTTATTATTTAGCTGTTTGTAATAATTGTAAACAGGCACATCTATGGTGACATTCTCGTCTGGACTTGAACCTGTTTGTAGTGGACTATTTTTACAGTCTGTCCTTTATCCTAAATTACAATCTCCTTTAGTGTTTTGAATAGATTTTACATTATGTCCGTGCACACATCAATTCCAAGTTAATGCTATTATATCATGGTATTAAAATGCAGCTTTTCAGTCAGAATACACAGAAATGTACAAATCTAAAATACACAGACCTATGGAAAATATTGTCCTCCGTCAGTGTAAAACCCCTGCACAGGTTTGATCTAATCCTGTCATAATCCCCAAACTACACGTTCTGATTTAATTGTTTTGCCAACAGCTCTGTTAAAAAAAATACTTAAACAAAGTTGTATTTTAGAGAAACAAACCTGTACGATAAGAGATAAAATGTCTGTCTTAGCTGTACAAGGGTGAATTAAAAGAGGACAAATGAGAATAAAACATGTTTTTCCATGTAATATAGACTTTAAGAAAAATAATGTATAGACCGTAAAATGTTTTTATTAATACCTGAATATCTCAGTTTCTTTGTCTATATTTCAGCTCCAGATGACCTTCATTTGCAGTTTTTGATCATTATATTTGACAGACTTTATGTTATTAATTCTGTGTAACCCTTTGTTACTCACGAGGAACTCACTGGGAATCACTTCTCGTCATTCAAATCTGCAATTTGAGCATCTGAATACAAAATGCAACAGCTTTATACATTAAATGGTTTATTATTTATGACCCTAACAGTAGGACTGATTGATTAACCTTACAGCATTGAAATGCAGTTAAAGGATGTTCGTTATTTTAAAGTCATTTCTGTGTTTTTTCTAGAGGACATCACAAAGTGGAGGAAGCATGTGAGATGTACTGCAGAGCTGCCAACATGTTCAAGATGGCCAAGAACTGGAGTGGTATTTAGATGCCCAAATCAGCTATTTCTGTGTGCATTTATAACTCTAAAGCACATGTTTGTGCAGTTTAGGTGAAAAGTTTATGGTTTTTTTTTTTTTTTACTTCACTCTTTTTTTTTTTCAGCTGCTGGAAATGCATTTTGCAAAGCTGCTCGTCTCCACATGCAGTTGCAGAACAAACATGACTGTGCAACCAGTTTTATTGATGCAGGAAATGCTTTCAAGAAATCTGACCCTAATGGTAAGACTGTGTGACTGCTAAATGGGATTAAAAGTCACATTTTTGCTTTTTTGTCCCCTAATAAAACATGCAAAAACTGACTTTTAAATTGTATAAATGAGTAAAATATTGACAGTGTTTCCAAAAATCTCTTATTTATGTAATATTAAAACAACTACATTATTAAATTTTATAAATATTCCTAACCAGCTAATTTTGCTGCCAGTGTTGTGGAAAAGTGGACATTCATTGGGTCACATGTTCCAAAATGATCAATTCTTACTCTTTACTGTAATATTTACTGTAATATTTACTGTAATATTTACTGTAATATTTACTGTAATATCGTCGATGGAAGATGAGATTTGTAGCTCAGTGGCAACTTTCACTTTGTAAGTAATTATTGCTATGTTGGTTTGAAGAGACCAAGTAATTAATTAGCAATCGGGGGAGTGGTGGCGCAGAGGCTAGAAGATGGGCCTGTGATCGGAAAGTTGCAGGTTCAACTCCCAGTACTGTCAACATCAAAATGTGGGTGGAAAAGGTGTAACACTTGTTGCACCTCAAGGCATCTTTCAAAACCTGATTGAAACTGTCAATTGTGAAAATTTCATGAGCGCAAGAAGAAGAAATTTCTTTTTGCAAATGTTCTTTTTACATTGTCTCATTTCACCCTGCTGGACTAATATCCCACAAAGGCAAGGGGATGCACAAGAGACTTGTTACTAACGTTCCCTCTTCTTTCCCTTGTGCTGCTTAAAGAGGCAATCAAGTGTTTAAATGCGGCCATCGATATATACACAGACATGGTAAGATGCATTTAGAATGTGTTCTTCAGTGATCCTCAGTCGTGAACAGTTCATATCGTTTTTGTCTGCTTGTGATTCGTGTGATTAACCAAACATGGCTGAATATCCCATCATCGCTGTTGACTCCGTCTCCACCTTTACCTCCACTTGTAGAAATAACGTCAGCACATTCATAACGAAGAGTGTTGGTATTATCAGTGCAACAATCCTAAAGTTTATCCACAACATAAGAATATTAAAGCAGAGACCCTGTTTGACCAACGAAGAGGTGACGGTCTGTAATGGTTTCTGCTCTCCTCCAGGGCAGATTTACCATCGCTGCCAAACACCACATCAGCATCGCAGAGATCTACGAATCTGAGCTGGTGGATATCGAGAAGGTAATACTGTCTCAGAGTGTGACGTCATAAAATACTACTGTCTGTTTTTATTACTGTACATCAGCTGTGAGTAGGCCTGTCGCAGTAAACAATACATCAATTAATCGCATGATAAATGAAAATTATCGACCTCATTTTCATTTATCGGCTTTATTTCACGTCTCTCTCTACTGATGACACTGGATGACAAAAGGCTCAACTCCGGTGCTCTTCACTGATTCCTCCCTTTCTCTTTCAAATCCATTTTAACCGTCCAAAATCGTGTTTTTGATTCATTAAAAGCAGATAAGCTGAGACGCTAAGCTATGAGCTAAGCTAACAGGCCAACCTCGGGGGGGGGGGGGGGGGGGCCCCCATCTTGTCGAAGCTCCAAAATTCACGGTTGAAACTCGTGCCTTCGTGTAAAAAGTTGTTTTTCTCTGCAAAAAGAAGCTGAGAACTTGTTTACTGATTTAATTAAAAGCTTTGTGTGACAAATGCTATGATAAAGAGCTCAAACCACGCCGAGTGTCTGCTATTTTGAGAACCGAAGAGAGACAACCCATGTCACGTCAAGGGGCCTTCCTCCCATTTTTCTTAAAGAGACACGCTGCTCGCTCACTCACTATCCATCCTTCAGTTCAAACTGCCTTATACTACCATCCAGTGGTCAAATACATGCAAAACAAATTAACATTTATTTTTAAATTTGACAATAATCACTAATTATTGTCAAATTTCAAACAATATTATCGTTTATCACAATAATTTATGAGACAGTTAATCGCCCAGCAAAATTTGTTATCGTGACAGGCCTAGCTGTGGCAGGTTTTTGTAAAGGAAACATGTTAGATATTGATGGGTTTTGGGGTTTTTTTTTGTCTCTGTGAAGGCTATTGCACATTATGAACAAGCAGCAGACTACTACAAAGGAGAGGAGTCAAACAGGTACTGTTTTAAAATCAGACACCTGCATTCTGTGTACACTGAACTTTAATTTGTTTCAAACACTTAAATGGCTTTTTGCTTTTTTTGCCCCATATAGTGTTGAAATGATGTAAAAATTCACTCCTAGTGTTTTTAAGCACATTAAACTTAAGAAAATGAGACCATATTACTTTAATTCCTCTACGATATTACCGGTATAGTAGTCCCTCGTTTATCGCGGGAGTTTCCGTTCTCAGCGCTCCTGCGATAAGTGAAAAACCACCAAGTAGGAATAGTAGTACAAGTAGTAAGTAGTAGTTTATTTTAGTGTGTACAGACCCTTTCCAAAAGAGCAGAGATCAACATGCTGCAGGAGGGGGCTTCCCCCTGCACGTGTGGGCTGCACACAGGTGCAGCAGGTGTTAAATAATTTTAAATAATTTATTTTTAATAAAAAATTCCATGCTGATCTTGCGGCTCATCCATCAATCAACCAACCAATTGTGTGTCATGTCCAATCTTACTTTGAAAAACCGCGAAAGAGCGAGTCCACGAAAGTCAAAGTAGCGAGGGACTACTGTACTCTTGTCACCCTCTGCATTTCATGCTGGAGTTTTAAACTATGTTGAGAAATAGCAGTTATAGCTGTTTTGGTCAAACCATACTCAGAGTATGTGTCGTGATGACTCTCAGCTACCACAACATCCGATTTTAGCCCAATATCTGTTAAATTAACAGAGTTACAGCCTTTTTGGATGCGCTAAGGTTGATTAGCTGTGGTAGACATCTTGAATTGGATTGACTCCAAAGATTTATCTGCTGTAAATGAAGACCCAATGATTATTTTCTGAAAGTTTCACTAAAGTCTGTCTAGTGGTTCATGAGATATTTTGCCAACGGACAAACAGGGTTGACAGCAACATTTAATGTCAATGTTTTAAGTAAAAATGTGACACAGCGAGGAGTCGGTTAGTGATATTTCGCTAACAGACAGGCACATGGACCAACACTGATCACAACAAAACATTGATGTATTTCTTTAAATCCCATTAGTTGCATTTCCCCGCAGCTTTGGACGTTTCAGACACAAATCTGTGAATTTAGTAAAACAGCTGCGCTGATGTTACACACTTTATTTAATGTCTGTTATGTTTGACTTCCACTGATGTTCCTCGCTCTTCCTCTTAGTTCTGCAAACAAGTGTCTGCTGAAAGTGGGAGCTTACTGCGCTCAGCTGGAACAGTACCAGAAGGCCATCGAGATCTACGAGCAGGTGTGTGTTTTCACTCGCACTTCCCCGACAACCAAAGTATTTCTGACCTCAGGTGTTTGCGATCGGTGTTGCGCAATCTGAATGTTGTCCAGGTTGGAGCGAACACAATGGACAACCCACTGCTGAAATACAGCGCCAAGGAGTACTTCTTCAAAGCCGCTCTCTGTCACTTCATCGTTGACGAGCTCAACGCTAAGGTGACCTCCTGCCTGCATGGATGCGCTATAGTGGAGGAGTGGTAGACTTTGAATATGCTGTGTCTCCACAGATTGCTATTGAAAAGTATGAAGAGATGTTCCCGGCTTTTTCAGACTCCAGAGAATGCAAGTTGCTGAAGGTAGCTCACAGTTAAACCCTGAAGAATCTGTTTTATCTCTTCGGTCTCTGGGAGTAACGTTTTTTTTTCCCTCCTCCGAACAGAAACTTCTGGAGGCTCACGAAGAACAGAACAGCGACGCGTTCACAGAGGCAGTGAGTCATACTTTCACTGTGCTTCTAGTTTTGTCGGATTCCTAGGGGGTTTCAAAAAGCCTGAGCTGTATTAACAGTCTCCGCGGACACCACTGTAAGGAATCATAGTAAAAATATCTGTGGCTTGAGGGTAAAAACAGCCTTTTTTCTCTGAATAAGGTAAAGGAGTTCGACTCAATCTCTCGTCTGGACCAGTGGCACACGACACTCCTACTGCGCATCAAGAAGAGCATCCAGGGTGAGGAGGGGGATCTGAAATAAGAGGAACCTCAGTGTTGGGATGCAGCATGAAGAGACGATTCATCACGCATGTTTTCACTTAACACACTGGGAAACACCGGTTATACAGAACACCAGGAGAGGAGCACCTGCTCCTGATTTTGAATTGCTCAAGAGCACTTCTCTTGTCTTTTCTGCATATCTGGATCTTGTCAGGATGTAAGTCCTCTGGCCCTCACCTCTGATTAGAGGATTGCTGCAAACCTCCTCCTGCTCACTTCATACCTGACCAACTTCTCTGCAGTGTTTGTTTGGAACCTGGCGCTAGTATCACCAAGAGCATGCTTCCTATAATTGTTTCCTTGTCTGATGCAGCTTGTCTTTTTAAAATCTAGTTATATCTTATAAAATACATTTGAAATGTTTGTGTTTCTGTTTTGAAGACTCATGTTTGAATAATGCTTTATTATTCTGTTGGCAGTAACAGTAAAACAACAAATACTCTGAAACTGAATTATTTATCAAAGTCGCATCTTTTCACCACATGGAGTGATTCTTCTTGAATCATGGAAATGATATGCACAAGTGTAGACTGTTAAACATTTGTATCTAAACACAACACTGATTTTATTACTTTTATTAATAATATTCTAGGCTGTGTTGATGTTGTGTGTTTTTTGCACCTGTAAGCTGCCGTTTAGTTTGTAAAATAAACGAAGCGCTCTAACACAAAACCTCCCCATTTGCAGGGCAGTTATCTTGAGGTAATGTCCATTTTTAGTTGGTCATCTTGTGTTGTGAATGTAGTGCATGTCATTGTGTTACGTAGACTCACTAGAGTTAGTCGGACTGAAGGTTTTACTAAACGATCAGCCGGTCTGTGTACTCATCTTCCTTCAGGTTGAGAGAACAACCTGTGGATTAGATCTGTTTGCTTGTTCAGATGAACATTAATAAAGATAATGTATCTGATATTGGAGTGCGTGCGCTTTCGTCAAACTGCAGCGTTGTATTTAGTCTCACCTTGTCTTCATAAAGATTTGTCCATTTTAACCAATCACTAAAACAGCTGGAAAATTAGCCTAATTGTGTACATCACTTTGTTACTTCTGGTGTGCACATATAGTGCATGTATGACAGCTAACACCAACGCCCTCTACAAGAAAAGGCGGTCGCTTTTTTCTTCTGAGGAGACTCCGGTCCTTTAACATCTGCAGGAACATGCTGCAGATGTTTTACCACTCGGTGGTCTCCAGCATCTTCTTCTACGCTGTGGTGTGTTGGGGCAGCAGGGTGAAGAAAGATGATGCCAACAGACTCGATAAACTCATGAGGAGAGATGGCTCAGTTCTGGGAGAGGACCTGCAGTCTCTGACAGAGGATGCTGAGGAAACTGATCCAGATCCTGAACAACACGTCACACCCCCTGCACGACACACTGGACTCTTACTGTGTATATATGTAGTAATAATAATAATAATACTTTATTTATAAAGCCCTTTAAAACAACCACAGCTGCCACAAAGAACCATGAACATAAAATCAAACATAAAACAGTTCTTAAAACATTAAGATCAATAAAAACAGTGCAGAGCAAATTCCGTTTGTGCTAAAAGTCAGTGAGTAAAAATGTGTTTTTATAAGAATTTTAAAACTGGACAGTGAAGGGGCTCGTCTGTTGGGAAGAAGGAGATCGTTCCACAGTCTTGGAGCAGCAACAGAAAAAGCTCTGCCCCCTTTGAGCCTCCGTTTGGACCTCGGACCTCAAGGAGCAGCTGATCAGCTGATCTGCGGCACCGAGCAGGAGAGTATGGGTGAAGCAGCTCAGAGAGGTAGGATGGAGCAAGACCATTTAAACGTTTAAAAACTACTATAATCTTAAAATGAACAGGCAGCCAGTGGAGTGAAGCCAGAGTGGGGGTGATGTGCTCCCTCTTTTGAACTCCAGTTAGAAGAGCAGCAACGTTCTGGACCAACTGGAGGCGTCTGAGGGAGGACTGGCTGACTCCAAGGTAAAGAGTGTTGCAGTAATCCAGCCAAGAGGTGACAAAGGCATCCAGCTGCTGTTGTGTGAGGATGGGCTTTACCTTAGCCAGCTGTCTGAGGTGATAAAAACTGGTCTTGAACCACCGCTCCAATCTGGGAATCTAATTTAAAATCACTGTCCATTTTAAAACCCAAGTTAAAAACTGTTTTCTTTACATGTGGTGCCAGAGGACCCAGATCAACAGGGCAAAGTTCACAAGAGCCACTAGGACCAAACACCATCACTTCTGTTTTTCTTTAATTAAAATTTAAAAAGTTTAAGGACATCCAGGCTTTGATCTCTTCAAGACTCAAAAGAAGTGGCCTAATTGAAGGGGCATCTTTGTGTATGTTATTCTGTATTTCTTATGTATATATACATATATATATATATACAGGTCCTTCTCAAAAAATTTGCATATTGTGATAAAGGTCATTATTTTCCATAATGTAATGATAAAAATGAAACTTTCATATATTTCAGATTCATTGCACAACAACTGAAATATTTCAGGTCTTTAATTGTTTTAATACTGATGATTATGGCATACAGCTCATGAAAACCCAAAATGCCTGTCCCAAAAAATTAGCATATTTCATCCCACCAATGAAAGACAAGTGTTTTTAATACAAAAAACGCCAACCTTCAAATAATCATGTTCAGTTATGCACTCAATACTTGGTCGGGAATCCTTTTGCATGAATAACTGCTTCAATGCGGCGTGGCATGGAGGCAATCAGCCTGTGGCACTGCTGAGGTGTTATGGAGGCCCAGGATGCTTCGATAGCGGCCTTGAGCTCATCCAGAGTGTTGGGTCTTGTGTCTCTCAACTTTCTCTTCACAATATCCCACAGGTTCTCTATGGGGTTCAGGTCAGGAGAGTTGGCAGGCCAATTGAGCACAGTAATACCATGGTCAGTAAACCATTTACCAGTGGTTTTGGCACTGTGAGCAGGTGCCAGGTCGTGCTGAAAAATGAAATCTTCATCTCTATAAAGCTTTTCAGCAGATGGAAGCATGAAGTGCTCCAAAATCTCCTGATAGCTAGCTGCATTGACCCTGCGCTTGATAAAACACAGTGGACCAACACCAGCAGATGACATGACACTCCAGTGACTGTGGAAACTTGACACTGGACCTCAAGCAATGTGGATTCTGTGTCTCCTCTCTTCCTCCAGACTCTGGGACCTTGATTTCCAAAGGAAATGCAAAATTTACTGTAATCAGAGAACATAACTTTGGACCACTCAGCAGCAGTCCCAGGTGAGATGCTTCTGACGCAGTCTCTTGTTCAAAAGTAGCTTGACCTGGGGAATGCGGCATCTGTAGCCCATTTCCTGCACACGCCTGTGCACGGTGGCTCTGGATGTTTCTACTCCAGACTCAGTCCACTGCTTCCACAGGTCCCCCAAGGTCTGGAATCGGCCCTTCTCCACAATCCTCCTCAGGGTCCGGTCACCTCTTCTCATTGTGCAGCGTTTTCTGCCACACTTTTCCCTTCCCACAGACTTCCCACTGAGGTGCCTTGATACAGCACTCTGGGAACAGCCTATTCGTTCAGCAATTTATTTCTGTGTCTTACCCTCTTGCTTGAGGGTGTCAATGATGGCCTTCTGGACAGCAGTCAGGTCGGCAGTCTTACCCATGATTGCGGTTTTGAGTAATGAACAAGGCTGGGAGTTTTTAAAAGCCTCAGGAATCTTTTGCAGGTGTTTAGAGTTACGTCGTTGATTCAGATGGTTAGGTTAATAGCTTGTTTAGAGAACCTTTTCATGATATGCTAATTTTTTGGGACAGGCATTTTGGGTTTTCATGAGCTGTATGCCATAATCATCAGTATTAAAACAATTAAAGACCTGAAATATTTCAGTTGGTGTGCAATGAATCTGAAATATAGGAAAGTTTCATTTTTATCATTACATTATGGAAAATAATGACCTTTATCACAATATGCTAATTTTTTGAGAAGGACCTGTATGTGTGTCAAGCCTTCCGTGACAGAGTTCGATGGCACGTTCACACCTCCCCAAACGAACCGGACTTTCTAGGCAAACGGGCTAGAGTTCGGGACAACAGGACTGGTGTGAATGCACCCAGAGTCTCTCCAGAGTGTCCTGGGTCTTCTCGGGAGTCTCCTCCTAGTCGGACATGCCCAAAGCACTTCCCTAGGGAGGCGCCCAGGGAGCACCCTTACCTGCTGACAAGCTCATCAGTTTTTTTTTTTCTTGAGAAACATTGTTTTAATTAAAACAATAAGTTTGTATCTGTTGTGAGATGATTTTAGCAGTTTTTAATCTACTTAATGAGCATGCATCAGGATAAGAATAGTATGACTTAAAATCGTTCATCAAACAGGAAGGAAGGCTTTTTATCCCTCCTCTTACTACAGTGAATGTGGTACTTTGCTATAAGTACAACTATATTTATGGCATCAGAGAAAGCTGAGCTTCAGTTATCCACATAAAGTAAAACGTCATCAGCATGAAAAGAAGAAATGTTAAGTTTGACATTAATCCAGTTTCTGATGACTGACCAAATACATTGTATTGACATGAAAAAATAAATGCTTGAGGGATTCATCTTCTGATTGACAACAGACACACAAATCAACCTCAAATTTAAATCTTCTTTGCAGAAACATGGCTACAGGATATATCTTATTTATTATTTTAAAATGATTCTCCTTCACTTTAGGAGATTTAGGCCATTTGACAAATTTAGAATGAGCAGAAGTCATTATGGTTTTATGATTTATATTAGGTTTCTTGAAGGAATCTTTGTTATACTCAGTAAATCCTTTGTCACAAACATTCATTGATAATCTTATTACATTTGAAGTCAACTAAGTTACAGACATTTAGTTTTAATTTGGGCATCAAATCGTCACCTTTGAATATATATTTTCAGTTAATTTAATCAGTTGTTGGTCAGGTTACTTCTCGTTGTGCCATTAGCTCTAAAATAGTTACTGAATCAAGTGTTTACTTCCATCCATCCGTGAGGGTAGCAGCCTAAGTGGGGAGGTCCAGACTTCCCTCTCCGCAGACACTTGGACCAGCTCCTCCAGGGGAATCCCAAGGCGTTCCAAGTGTTTACTTATGTAGATAAAACTAGATGTTAAACAACCATTAAAATACACTAGAATGCAGGAAATGGTATCTACTTTTTTCAAAATTTTCTGGGGGAGGACCCCCAGACCCCCCCATCAGTATGTCCCCCCCTCCACACACACATTATAAATGCTTCTGACACCAGTGGCCAACAAACTAAACAAGTACACATATGGTGTCATGTGGTGTTGTAGTGAGTCACGTGAGGTACGTGTCACTTGTTGTATGACAAATATATGGATATATATTTATGCATACTTTTCACGAGTTCTTCATCTTTCTGACTGTGTAATGCCGTGCATTGAATTTAAAGGAATGCGAACAAGAGACGTTATTACCTTTGACCCATCAAATGAATGGAATCATTTATTTTCAGAATCAAAGTTTAACATCAAACATTTACATTAATTTGGCAAAATATGAAAATAATAACAGACAGTTTCACAAATAATGAACTTCAAATCACTCGGCGGTGATTTGAGGACTTTGCTTCAGATATTTCTAAAAATATCTG